TATATATATATACCGTGGCCTGTTAGTAGAGCAATATTTCTGAAGGTCGTAAGTCCCTTCAGGTCACGGGTTCAAATCTCCCGTGTTACGGTGTGGTACTCAAATATTTAGCACAACTAGGGATGATCGGGACTCGTCTAATAGACTTCAGCCATTTCATTGACTCTCTCTCTCTCTCTCTCTCTCTCTTTCTCTAATTGATAAGAAATATTTTAAAATAATTTAATTTACTACAAAACTATAAAAAAATTATAATTAACTAAAATTATTAATTAAAAATAAAATATATTTATATTAAATTTTTATTTAAATGAATATTTTAACGTAAACAATAACATTTAAATCTAGTCCCAAATCTTAACATTCTAAGGCTGAATGATTAGGATTATCAAAATGACTCATTGTTCGCAATACAACTCGTGTTTGGCTCGCTAAGCAAACACACCAAATATAAATAATTTTTTTGAGCTTGATGTATGCACGAGTTGGACGTGCATACTAGTATTTTTAACTTGGAGCCTAGACTAGCTTAAGCTCAGCTAATTTACACTCCGAGAGACCAAAAATGTATGATATTTTAAGTTCTATTTTCCATCAAATATGATGCAGTTGGGGGGACCATCATGGAATGTAGCTCTGGGCCGTAGGGACTCGATGACGGCGAGCCAAAGCGCGGCGAACAGCAATCTCCCAAGCCCGGCCTCGAGCCTTTCGACGCTCGTCTCCTCCTTCGCGGCAAAGAATTTGAGCCCGCGCGACATGACTGCCCTCTCAGGAGCTCACACCATCGGCCAGGCTCGTTGCACGACCTTTCGTTCCCACATCTACAACGACAGCAACATAAACTCCAACTTCGCCACCCTTCGGAAGCAAACCTGCCCATCTTCCGGCGGCGACGACAACTTGGCCCCGCTTGATGTACAGAGCTCGAACCGGTTTGGAATCGATTACTATCAGAACTTGGTGGGTCTCCGCGGGCTTCTGCATTCGGACCAGGAGCTCTTCAATAATGGCAGTCAGGATTCGTTGGTGAGACAGTACAGTGCAAATACCCAATTGTTCTTCAGTGACTTTGCGGCAGCCATGGTGAAGATGGGAGCTCTTAGTCCGCTCACGGGAACTAACGGTCAGATTCGTTTGAACTGCAGAAAGACCAATTGAATAACTTGAAGTTGTCTTTTTGATGAGGTGGTGTGTGTCAAGTCATGTTTTAAAATAATGCTGGTTATTTTTAATTTTGTATTGGTTGGCAAGGTGAGGAATGGATGTCTTGGTGTGAGGGGGAAATGCCCGATCACTAAGTTTTATCATGGCTCTATTATTTTTTAATTAATTATTGTTGAGATTAATTATGCTTTAATTTCAAATTTGTTTTGTATTTTTTTCTTTATGAGAATGAATACCAACTAATTAGTGATGCATTTAAATTTAGATTGCTAACGAGTTATAGTATTTTTTTTT